ATGTATGTAGCTTAGATATTTGGCACTTATTATACAAGTTGTCAAATTGTGTATGATATCTTCTGTCTTTGTAGTCAAATAAACTGTAAATAGTTTTAAAATATTTGTAATTTGATACGGACAGTGAAGTTGTCAATTTGGATTACATAAATGTTTACTTGAAAATTTTAATTTTTGATATGTGACAAGTGAATTTAAGTTAATCTTTCATTCATATCTAATGATGCAACTTAGGTATGTTTTAATATGTTTGCATTTTGACTTTGCAATGCATTGATTTATAAACAAGTTTTATTTAAATGTGGCGAGCTTCTCTTTTTCACTAAGGTGTAATATGATGTAAAATGTTGTCTAATTTTTATGCTTTGTGGTTGTACATTTTTTGTTCATCGAATTTGTTGTGTCCGGTATCTAATTTCTTCTGAGGTTTCAAGTTTTAATTTAAAAAAATTCACCAGTCAATAGATTTTTTGTGTCCCCTGGCAAATTTAATATTTGGTTTCATGTTTAAGTGAATGATGAATGTACATTTAGTAAGGGTGTCAAATTTTGAGAACACTTGTGCAGTGTTAGCTGCTTCTCCTTTTCTGGTCATTGAGTAAAAGCACTAACAAGAGCCTTCAAATGCTTAGATTGGGTAATTGTTGATTTAAAAAAATTGGCTTTTGTTTTTCTTATATTTCAGGAATTTACAATCTTGTGATGCACCTGCATGTTAGATTGGTGAATACCTATTGGCTGCGTTACACTTACACTAGTACAAAACATGTACACATTAGGCTTGCATTTGGCAGCTTTCTCTTGAAGTCTTCTCATTTCTCTGCGGTTGTGCTATTTTTATTATTAGCAAACCTCTTGTTTCTAGCTGTAGGACACTAACGTTTTCAAGTTGTTATTATCCAAGTTTTCTACAGCTACTTTATGCTGGTTTTGCATGTCAAACAGGTCCGAGATGCAAAGATAAAAGTGTTGGGAAGCCTTAAACAAGACACTGATGAAGAGTGCTCAGAATGGAAAAAATTATCTGCTTCTCTTAAGGTTAGAACCATTTATGATTTATTATGAACTGAGAAGCACTTATAACGTGATTTAAGTTTATTGTTTATGCTATATGTGGATTTTGTGGAAATGCTTTGTCATAATGTTTGATTTTTTCCTAAATGTAAACACCTTTCATTCTAAATAATCAAATAGCTCAATGATTATTTCAATTTGTTGTTAGTTTAAATGCTATTGTTGGACTCTTTTCTCTAAGCTTAAGTGTACTCATCTTAGTATGATAGCAGCATTGGTACCAGGTTAACTGAAAAGTCTTGTGTTCAACGCTCTTATTCCATTAATTAGTTTAACCATAAAGCAAGACTTTATTTCTGGATCTGCGTGACCATGTTCATTAATTAAATTGTCATATAACTATGATGCTTGTTAGAATTTATAAATTATTCTAGAAACAAGCTTTAGTTTTTGCTTATTTGACACAGAAAGTTGAGGATGACCAGAGTATTGGAACATCTTTTTCAACTTTTTGAAGAACTATTTTGGGCAATTAATTAGTTTTCTGGTCCAAAATGTCAATTAATAACTCTTAACTGTGTCTTTGTAGTCTGAATATCCTAAATACATTCCATTGCTTGCCAAGATTTTGGAAGGTCTGCTTTCTCAAAGTAATGTTGGGGACAAAATCCGCCGCAAGGAAGAGGTAAGTCTTATGACAAACATATAGTCAGCTGAAAGTACTGTGTAGTATTGATTTATGACAAGCAAAGAAGTTTGTGCACTATTTCACAGAATATCAAGTACTTAAAAATTATTTCTTCTAAAATGAAGCATTTTCCTATCTCTGTCAATGTATTTATTTTCAATGGATGATGGGTATGTAAGCATAATCATCTAAACACTTATGAAATGGCCCTTTGCAGGTTATAGAGGCAGCAAACGAGGTAATTGACAGTGTTGACCAAGATGAGCTAGCGAAATTTTTTTCACAGAAAAGTGATCCAGAGGATGAGGAAGCAGAGGTGTGGATCCATGCTGCCTTTTTTTTTTTTTTTTTTAAACATTGACAACTGAGCTCTTGGCTTTATTTTCTATCATAATGCATCCTATCAAAACACATTTTTCTCTTAGTTTGATCTGGTGGCCGGGCTACATGTTATTTCTTCAACTTTTAGCATCTTTTTAGAATTTATATTACTTCGTTGCTCGAATTGTGGTAGTATTGCTTGTATTCAGTTATTTATTAGAGGTGATGACAATTAATTTACATCCTTGATGCTTTCTGATTACAGAAAATCAAGAAAAAGATGGAGACAGCACGTGATCAGTTAGCAGAGGCACTTTACCAAAAAGGATTAGCACTGGCAGAGATTGAATCATTGAAGGTAGTTCATGAGTCTTTTATGCAGGCTTTGCTAGAATAATATGCTATTACTGTTTTTCTGAAACTTTCTGCTCGTTCAGCTGTATTATTGTAGTACAAAACTTGTTTGTAAAGAAACTCAAATGATTTTTATTTAGGCTTTACAGAGTTTGTAAATGGTTCTATGATCAAAAGTTAAAAGTTGAATGCATCACTTTACGAGTGGTGCTGCCAGCATATCTGAACTTGCTTTTCTATCATTAAGCTATTTATGTCATATGTTATTGTATTGCTAGGGGCTGCAGGCACATTGTTTCCAACACTGTCCCCACCTTCTCTCTCTATATATACAAAAATTCAGGAGATATCCACTTTCTCTCCCATCTTTATGAGTGTTGTTATCACCTTATCTGAACTTGTGTTTCTATGACTTAGCTATTTATGTCTTATATTGTTGGATTGCTAGGGGCTGCAGTCACATTGTGTCTAACAATTTCCCCACTTTCTCTCCCTATCTACATCCATATTTCAGGAGAGATCCATTGGGAATATAGTTAATTTTGCCTTGTTTCCTTCCTTAAAGTTGTGTGTCATCCACTTGCTTTTTTGAATCATTTAAATTTCAGAGTTTTAAAACCGATCTATTTAAAAAAAAAAAAAAAATTGAAAAAAAGGAACACCAATTTATTGAGTTGTGTCTTGTATTCATTTTCATTCTCCTCTGTTTTTAGGTAACATAGGAGCACAATTCCTTTGTTAACCTGTGTGGCGCTGATCATCTTTTTATCATCGTATAGGGTGACAAAGCTTCAGTTGCAGATGCAAATGAAGGCACAAAAGATGTGGACAAGACTGGTGATCAATCTGCACCTGTCTCTGGTGGTCAACCAGATTTGTTTGAAGACAACTTCAAAGAACTGAAGAAGTGGGTTGATGTGAAGTCTTCCAAATATGGAAACCTCTTTGTGCTACGTGAAAGACGGCTTGGAAGGCTTGGAACTGCGCTAAAGGTAGTTTTCTTGATATATTAGTCCAGTTACTGGTGACAACTGTCATAGAATTACATTTTGTTTGAGGCAGGCATAGTCATTAGTCGCTAGCCTGTCGAGGAAGTAAAAGATAGAAGGTGGGGGTTGAAGTTGAAGTAGGTGTTAGGCTTCAATGCTGGGTGGCAAAGATGTGGTTGTTCATTTTGTTTCATTAGTCTGCAGACATATTATTAAATCATCTTCTGGCGCAGGTATTGAGTGAGATGATTCAAGATGATGCGGAGCCTCCCAAGAAGAAGCTCTATGAACTGAAAATTTCTTTGCTAGATGAGATGGGGTGGAACCACGTGGCGGCATATGAGAGACTGTGGATGCATGTTCGGTTCCCGCCCAGCCTGCCTCTTTTTTAAGATTTCTCTGTTTTACAAGTACAGAAAGTGCACCCCCTTTGTTGCAAGTTCCTTCATTTTAAGGATAGTTTCTATACAACGATGAATATTCTATGTTGCTCCCAATATTTTTGCATATTGCTGTGAAACATTGGAATTACATTGTAGCTTGGATTTAAAATCGGTATCAATTCTTCCCAAGAGGTTTGGGAACTATGTAATGGATAATAATCACGTTAATCTCTAGTAGTCTGTCGGCTACAATTTAGTTCAAATCTTTATGCCACTGGAGCACTTCAGTGTTTAGAATGGATTGGACCCATTGAATTCAGGATCCCATTCTTTTATCTCTTAGATTTAGTAATAAGTACAGGTTTGAAGGATGATGGGACTAATCATATTTTCGCTTTCCCTAAAAATCATTTTATAATCTGAAATCATGACTTTTTTGAAATTATTTTCTATAACGGTAAGGGATCATTAATTAATCATGAATTTAGTCTTCTATTTTCTCAAATAGGAGAGTTTGATTGGGAAATTGTTTTTCTAGGTATAGTAACAGAGATTTAGATTGATTCAGAAGGATTTAATCATGGTTGTCAAATCGCGTATCGTATTATGTATTAAAAACCAAATTTTTTGAATACTATATCAGATATCGTATTGTATCAAAGGATATGTCTTTAAAAAAAAAAAATTCTAAAAATTAATATCATCCTTATGATTAATTAACGAATTTTGTGATATTACTGGCTTTAAATTATGGTTTTACATAATTAAAATTAATTACAAAATTAAGAATTTATATCATTTCCTCTCAACATTTGTTTATAATATGAAATCATGACTTTTTGGAAATTATTTTCTATAATTGTAAGGGATCATTAATTAATCCTTGAATTGAGTCTTCTATTTTGCCAAATACAAGAGTATGATTGAGAAATTGTTTTTCGAGGTATAGTAACAGGGATTGAGAATGATTCATAAGGATTTAATCATAGTTGTCAAATCGTGTATCGTATTATGTATCGAAAACTTAATTTTTTTTAATAGTATATCACGTATTGTATCGTATCAAACGAAACGTCTTTCAAAAAATAATAATAATAATAAATAAAATAATAAAATTTTCTAAAAATTAATATCATCCTCAAGATTAATTAACGAATTTTGTGATATTATTGGCTTTAAATTATAGTTTTACATAATAAAAATTAATCACAAAATTAAGAATCTATATCATTTCCTCTCAACATTTGTTTATTATCTGAAATCATGACTTTTTGGAAATTATTTTCTATAATTGTAAGGGATCATTAATTAATCCTTGAATTGAGTCTTCTATTTTCCCAAATACGAGAGTTTGATTGGGAAATTGTTTTTCTAGGTATAGTAATAGGGATTTAGAATGATTCATAAGGATTTAATCATAGTTGTTAAATCATATATCGTATTGTGTATCGAAAACTTAATTTTTTGAATAGTATATCACGTATCGTATCGTGTCATATGATATGTCTTTCAAAAAAAAAAAAATTCTAAAAATTAATATCATTCTGAAGATTAATTAACGAATTTTGTGATATTATTGGCTTTAAATTATGGTTTTACATAATTAAAATTAATCATAAAATTAAGAATTTATATCATTTCCTCTCAACATTTATTAATAATATGAAATCATGACTTTTTGGAAATTATTTTCTATAATTGTAGTGGATCATTAATTAATCCTTGAATTGAGTCTTCTATTTTCGCAAATAGGAGAGTTTGATTAGAAAAAAAAGTATTTTTCTAGGTACAGTAAGTAACAGGGATTTAGAATGATTCATAATGATTTAATCATGGTTGTCAAATCGTGTATGTATTGTGTATCAAAAACCTAATTTTTTAAATAGTATATCGTATATTGTATATGATACGTCTTTAAAAAAAAATAGTAAAAATAATAATAAATTTTTTCTAAAAATTAATATTATCCTCAAGATTAATTAACGAATTTTGTAATATTATTGGCTTTTAATTATGGTTTTACATAATTAAAATAAATCACATAATTAATAATTTATATCATTTCTTCTCAACCATTCGTATCATTTCCAAGATCAATATCAATATTTATATCTCTATTTGTGTTATTATTATAATACAAAATGTGCAACATATTTTCCTCTTCATTTTCTTCATGCAAAATAGGTATATTTGAGCGGGCTTTAGTGAACCGGGTTAGGTGAACCGGGTAAGTTGTATCGATATTGTTAAGGATATAAATCGATACGTATTGTATCGTAGGATATATATCAATATATTGAAAGGTTTATGATACACTCTTTGATACGTATAGTTACCGACTCGTATCAAATCGTATGATAAGATACATATCGCACATCTTAAGATACTAATATCCATGGTTTTAATTAGTTTAGTGGTCCTCTTCAGTTGTCTGCCATTTTCTTTTTTTTCTTATCACCACCTAAGATTAAAACGTACTGTCTTTAATGAAATATTGTGATATTTCATGTTCCCAGTCCCCACCAGCCTCAGCATCAGCGTTATTCTAGCTTTTTGAAGGCAACGGCTACTCATCATTAAGATTAAAATTCAAATATATTCTGGGGGACAAAACGATTCTGTTTATGAGATTCTGGACCACTTCTTGTAACCTTTTACAAGCCTTTTGATAGTATATTCTCAGATGGAATGTAATATTCTAACAATAGTTTTCGTTGTAGCCCTAAGTACCTAGCACAAAGATGGATGAGCTCAAAGCTTTCCTCTGTTGGCATTTTGTAGTTTAATTAGATTCAAGAAGTCCAAATAAATTAATATAACCAAGACAAAGACAGAGAAATAAAAAATTAGCAATCTAGAAAAAAAGTGCTTATTTTATTTTTCATATTTTACAATGATAATTATTGCACCCACCACCACAAACAAAAACAGAGATGCCACAAATTCATGGCAAAACAGAGATGCCATAAACTTGCGGCAAAATCACTACATAGTAGTAAACCTTTGTCTGCAAAATCTCTACATAGTAGAAAAACTTTGTGATTGATTAAACTGATTACAGGGGTTCAACTATGAGGGGCAACCCATGGGTCGGTCTAAGAGATAGCACAATCGAAGGCGCATGGTGATAATTTGGGGAGAGCTTCACAGAAAACCTCGATAGAATTTTGGTTAAAACAGCCTTATACTCCATCATGGCCAAGTTCCGAGCAACACACATTCTCCCTCCAAAACCAAAAGGCAAAAAACCCATCTTGTGTTTGCACCCACCGTATAATGGATCGTCCCTAAACCTCTCTGGCTTGAACTCATTCACGTCATCGCCCCACAAAGCGGGATCATGATGCATGGCCACCACATCAATCCACAAATTGGTTCCTTTGGGAACCACCACGTCATCAACTTTAATATCTTGGCGCGCTTGCCTTTGCGCATTTGGTGCCGGTGAATATAGCCGTAGAACTTCGTTCATCACCCATCCCATCTGCAACAAATGAACACATTTTATGAGTAAATATAAAATATTTATTCAATATAAACATCGTACTTGCAGAAACACGGAGAGGTTGGATTTGGGCGGCAAGCAGTAGAAAATAATATTTTGAGTTTAGACTCAGCGTGGACCAAACAGAGAAGTCGACGGCTCAAGGGGCGGCCAACGTTGATTTTTGGTTTGATTGAGTATAACAAATATTACGTGGGTGTAAATCTTATCGGAGCTTTGGAAGAGAGGGTATCTAGGCCAAATACTGTTAACCTGTTAAAAGTTCTAAATAATGGTTTATTTGTCGCCAAGTGAAGTGTGCGTGAAGATGACACAAAAATAGTGCTATTTTGCAAGCTATTTATATGACATTCATCTGACATCATCGTTTTTAAGCCAAAACATGTCTTTATAGTTTATTCACGCGCTTCAACGCGTGGACTAAAACATAAGCTTTTTTTTTCGCGGTTTGACCTTTGACGAATGACTCCTTTAAATTATTTAATAATAATATTTTTAATTTATTATATATTATTTTATATAATGACAACATTAGTGTTTTCCTTTTTGGTCAAGATACAGAATGACAACTGACCAGTTTGTTGTTTTCTTTTTTTGGTCATAAAATATCTTACGCATTATAAAATTGTCTGATATTAAATAAATAATTGTATTAACCAAAATTAATTAGTGCCAGATGGTAAATTCTAGAAGGCAATAGTGTTTTTGTGCATAAGACTTAAGAGACCATGCATCTTTTATATGTGGGTGACAAGTGACTCTTTTTTTAGGGTAAGACCTTAAAATATAAATTTATTTTCAAATGCACCAAACGTGATATGTATAGTATATAGTATACTATTCTTTTTCCTAGAAAATTCACCTCAAGAAATTAATTCAGTGAGCAATATCATGTGATGAAAGCATAAATTACCTTCTTTAGTCCAGCAAGCAATTGGAAATTGATATCTTTATCTCCAATCACTTCTCTTATCTCCTCTCTCAACTGGTTTTGCCACTCTGGATTGATTGCCAAAAGCATCAAAGTCCACGACAATGCCAAAGCCGTCGTTTCTTGACCGCCGAAGAAGAAAGTCTTGCACTGATCGATCAGTTCCCTTTCCGTTAATCTCTTCCCTTTCCGATCATCCACATTGTTTGCTTCTAGCAATAGTCCCAATAAGTCCTTCGAAGGATGCCCGTTATTACCAGCTTTCTTTCGGGCAGTTATGATCGATTGAAGAAGACTATCTATTTCTTTTCCAAGTTTTATGGCCTCCAAGTTTTGCATAGGGTTCATAAAACTGCTAAAAGGGACACCCACATAGCGGTTGTACTTGAAAAGTGCAACCTGCATGTCGGTTAATTTTTTTAATACTTCTCTTCCATTTTCGTAGCTTATGCCGAAGCTGGTTTTTGCGATGATTTCACCGGCCGTTGCTATAATTTCTCTCTCTACGTCGATTTCTGGGTTCCCGAAATTTGTGAGGCTACTCCACTTGTCTAGCATTTTAGAGGTGGACTCCACCATTAAACTTGCCATAGCCTATTGGACAAGCAACATAAATTAAGCAATATTATTGATAAAGAACATTATTGCTAAGATATATGTAATGGATTATAG